TAGTAGTAAACACTTTCAAGCAAATATCAAGAGAAAGATAACAAAAATGAATAGAAGAAAATCAACAAATTTGAACGTTTAAAATTCATAGACTTTTTAATTTATTGCAGATTAAAATGTGAATACTTTTTTATTAACTAAGTAGATACAATAACAACAACAAAAATTTAACAAGTTGTGACTGTTTCCTGATATTTAACATTCACTTCCAAAATTAGAATGACCTTAAACTTCGGTCTATGACATAGCACAATGTTTGCCTTCTTGAAAAAAAAAATGTACCTGTTCAAGTACATACCATGGTTCTAAATTTGCAAAGAAGGTTTAAAAAAGAAAACCACAACTTCCAAAATAACATTCAGAATGATTTAATATGCCTCTATAAATAGTATTCAAATATTGAAATAATTTGTAAAACTAAGGCAATATTGACCTTGATCTTTGAGCTAATCTAATGTAGCATACACTGTTCACTGATCGTACGTGTTTGTGTATTCCTGCAAGTGACATCTAATACACATTTTCCAAGAATGTTTATGTCTTAGAGGTTAACATCTAGATGAAATGCCCTGAAACAATAAATTGTTCACTATACAGAAGTGTTTGTTACACCCTTTACAACCATAAACTGTCTCTTTTCTTTTCTTGTCTCCATGTTTGGTACACCATTTGCAGGGTTTCTATGAAAAAAAATTGTATTTGTTTAAATATTTTTTTTCTCAAGGTCATTTGTAACCAATGATATTTAATATAGATCTTCCTTCACATCTCAACATTGAAAACAATATACAATAAAGTCCGAAAGAAGAAGTAAAAAAGTTTTGTATTCTTTTGTTAGAGTATATAAAATTCGGACTATTAGCAATAAAAATGTTGAAATGTAATGATTATATTTATCTACACTATATTGGCTAAGGGATCAAAAAATTCTATGCTACGTACACCTGTATCAGTATAAACTATATATAAAGCAGGTCTCCCTGTCTGTATAAAATTTAACTGATCGGAAGCTAAAACACCTCTGAATTGTTTTTCAACAATCTTATTAAACATCAGTATATCAAATATTTTGGTGGAATTCATTATTATACAGTTATGGAATGGGTGTGAGGGAAATAGCAAATTTACGATTCCCCAAGGGAGAAAACTATTTTTTTGATGTGGTGTTTCTTTTTTTTCTTTTTTTTTTTTGGTTTGTTAGACTGATCCTTTTCCGCTTGCTTTCGTTCACTAGAATGAACACGTCTCTTTAATATTTCCTTTTTATCTCTACAAAATGTTGCCTTGTTACATATAAATGACTCCGCTTCCTTATCAATAACTGCGTGCTCTGTCAATTGCTTCCTTTGTTGGGGTTACCATTTTTATTTTTGTGCACATCATCTTTGTCGTGAAGATTTTTCCCTACTATATAGACTTTTTTATGTTTAGATTGATCATTTGTAACCATATTTAAAAAGTGCGTTTATAACCATATTTAAAAAAGCAAAAGAAACATAGGGAATTAGATTTGCTATCATTTTTTCAGTTAAAAAAAACCCCTTATATATATTAGTAATTTTTGCAATCTTTATCTTAAATGAAGTGTACAGTTGCAAGCTCCTTGAGATAGTGAGGATTGTTGCAAGTTATCATCTAATAAATACAAGCGAATTCTTTAAATTCTGTTTCTTAACTAAAACTTTCATATCAAATGGCTTGTAAAAGATAAATACATCATCTGCTTTTCGAAGTTGCACTCTTTTTAAAATAGGTAATTATTGATTTTTAACAAATACATTCCACATATTTCACAAAAATAAATAAATAAATAAATAAATAAATAAACTTCTGAAAGTCAGAATTATTTCTCTAAGAAAATTCGGTTATTGCACATTCCCAGTCTCCGGATAAATCTTTTTCATGGGGTAAGTTCAGTTGTAAAATCTTGTAATGTGTAGTAGTTGTGAATATGTTTACAATCATTCGAATTGATCATAAAAAATAAATAATTTTTAAAATAATATTAAACCCGATTACTCAAAATTAATAATGTTTTCTTCGGGAATCCAAGTATTGAATGAAGAGTTGTAACCCATCCACTTCACTAATACTTCATTTTTACCATTGTGTGACCGTTTCGTTTATTAATAACAGATTCTATTTTATAAGTTGTTTTATCATCCATGTTCCTGCTCATAAAATTCACCAGTAATCAATTAGTTATTCAAATCTTTAAGCACGTATATTCTTTAACGTGTCTGCTAGCTATAATAAACATCTCTGTGCTCCATCGAACATTATATTCTTTTTCAAATGTTCTTTTTATAGATGAAATACGTACAGCATCATTTACTAAAAATTTAAATAGATTAAGTGGTCTGTTCTGTGATTTTTAAATCATCGTCATACATATGTAAAACAGTTTCCATAATTTGATTTTCTCATCCTTTGTAGGAGATGCAGGAGATGTCTTCAATGATCTGTGGACAGTATTATTATATGAATCAGTGATATCTTTGTTTATCAATCCATTTAAATGTATTCGAGTTGTGCATATATTTTATTAATTTAGATTTTATTGTTCTTATACACCTTTCTGCAAAATGTGTCTTTATTTCAGTATTTTGAGTTTTAAAATAACTAACGCTGCTTTGGTGTCTTTTCCAGTGTTACTTTTAATCATACGAGTAAATATAAACCAGGAGAAAGTATCAATAACTAATAATTTTTTTTATAACCTCTATTACATTCTTTATAATTTTCCATAATACATGTATACATCTGCCTCCCAAATATAATCAGATTTGAAACTTACGAAGTTATTTCGTTTGAATTTACGTTGAATTCTTTTATGTGCTCCATATGACCATTTTTTAACATCGCCAAGAGAAATATTACATTTATCTTTTCGCAATACTTGATAAATTGTTTGAGGTCCCGAAAAACTCGCTGATTTTTTAGCATTGTAAAACATCGCAGCAATCTGCTTTTCTTTTTCATCTATAGATTTAATATTATGAAAATTTTAACCACTTAATTCTCTAGTCTGGAATTCCTGGAGGAGTCCTTCTGTTAATTTTAGTTCGCTGAATTCCTTTGATTGTAAGTTTAAGTTGTTTTGATTTTCCATATCCATTTTGATTTAAGAATCTTCGAATTCATTTCGCAAATTCTTCACAGAACCATCATTTCTGTCTGCGAGAAAGCATTTGCGTGCGTCTTAAAATTCAAGTTTTCTTCAGTAATGGATAAAAGAATTGTATAGCAAAAAAAAAAAAAAAAAAAAAAAAAAAAAAAAGAAAAGAAAAGCGCCACCATTTTATCATCTGGAATCATTTATAAGTGTTTTTTTTTTTTTTTTTTTTTTTTTTTTTGCACGGCTCTTAAAACATTCAGCATTACATGATTGTATTTTACCAACAAGAAGAGTTTGTATTTTAAAGGTTTCCTTTTGGAAAAAAAGAAAATTTAAAAGTTTTGAGTGAGATTTCAGAAGATTTTTTTCTCCTTCTTTGAGACATTAATCTCCCAACATACAATATTATATAACATCTCACATATACCATTCACCTGGCGTTCACTTGCAGTGGTTTGTAATAAATATTTACGCTGTTGTTTATTTGATGTTGGATCTGTGATTAGATCCATGAAACTGAACACCTTTAACAGCACTGCTCATTTCTTTCTTTCTTTTTTTTTCTTCTTTTTTTTTTGTTTTTTTTGCTTTCGATACATAAAACAGTATCCTCCTTGAAAAATATTTTGGTGCAAAACCTGTGTGCGTGGTCCGATGTCGGTGATAGATCAATCAGTAAATAAGATTTTTTTTTCACGTGTAGCATCTTTATATGCTTCTTTCAATAATTTTATCTGTCCAGTCTGGTGCCCAATGTCCTTACTTGCGTCATACCCCTAGGATTCCGCATTAATATGTAATAATGTAAATTTAAAGAAATTCATCGAGAATTTACGCCTTTACAAAAAATATTTTGTGTTATGAATATAACAGTTAAGTGTGAATGATGTGATTTTTGTTTAAAAAGCTTCTCCTTTTCGGAGTCATTATAAATCTCTAGCATAAAATCATCAAGAACAATTATGTTATGTACTTTGTTTTTTGAAAGAACATTAATTTTTTCCTCTACAGGTAATCCTCGAAAAAATTCTATGTTCTCAATAGTTTTTACCATCATTTAAAATATCGAATGATAAATGTTATAACAATACAAAATTTTGTTTGGTGAATCATTCAAAAGCATATTAATTTGACCTTTGTGATAGTACATGTATAGTTTAAACACCCAAGACGTTTTCCCTGGCCCAGTACATCCATTTACACATATCACGGAGCATGGGTGGAAAGGACACATCTTTCTGTGCCAAGTGTTAAAATATAAATGAATTTATCTAATGTTTTTTTTCCCTTTTATCTTTCCTTGGGTTCTAGCATCAATGAAGATTTGAACTATTGTCCAGTGCCAGAGCAATTTTCAGTATATATTTTTGTACGTGTATTGTTAAGAAATAAAATACAAATGAATTGAACTTATGATTTCTTTTCTCGTGTTTTACTAGATTCTAAAACCGATGAAAGTCTGAATTCATACATACATGTATAAGAAAAGAATAAATAAATGAAAATAAATAAATAATAAATACAGTTCATTTATTAATATATACATTTGTATGTACACTGCAACAAATATGTAGATATTATCACGAGAAATAAAAAAGATAAAATTAATATGAAAATTCTCCACGTAACATTTTTCATCAATATCACTTATGCATGTACAATGTGTAATGCTAATATAAGCTCTTAATTATTTTATATGATTTGTGTGTGAGTGTGTGTTTTCAGAGAAAATGAAAGAATTGTTTTATTGCAAATTATATAAAATCTAATATCTTAGAGCTTCTTAGTTTATTAATGCATAATATAATAAAGCTCGCTTTTTAAAAAAAAAATTGACAAGGGAATTTATTTAAGATCGGGTTCGGGAGTTCTTTATGTAAAATCAAAGATGGCAGCTCTCTTGTCGAATTGTGTTCGGGGATGTTGCAGAATTTCACGGTATGTATGAAGTTAATATTTCTTGATTTTCCAAAATGTACATATCGATAAATGAAAATGTTTCATATATTTGATTATGTCATAAGAAAATGTGAAATAACATTTTTTTCAGCAATTTTAAGGACCTCTAATACTGTCTTCTTTTTTCTTACGAAATGTGACCTTACACTGGCTTACACAAGATTCATACTATATATGTAACTTGATATTGACATGCCTGTTGTCTTAGAGAGTTTTTTTTTAATTTTCTATGAAAATATTTCCGTGGGTAAGGTTTTGGTTCATCTGCCGTTTATTTACGTTGTCTTTCCACAATTGCAAACTTGTGTTTCAGGAATAAAAGAACTGTGTCTTGGGACATATTACTTGTATTTATAGCATAAATTGTATTTATAAACATTTGATACCTTATTCAGTGTAATTAGTATTTGCTAAGATTGGAGTTGTTCTTCACTTATCTGCTGCAGAGGGGACAAACTATCAAAATATGATCATTATATAGGGTCCGTGGGATGCCATCTTTTAACTAAGGAACATTCTATACAATAAGAACACTGGCACTGAGTCTTTAGTGTCTCTAGAGTTGATAATAATTAACCACAAGCCCTCCTCCCCCACCTCCTGAGGCTCCTCTAAAGGTTCTTATAAAGAAATCAAGAAGGAGATTCAAAGTGAAAGTGGTCATTTCTGTGATTTAAGAGTGCTGAAAATGTGAAAAGGGGAGAAGGGTGTGCACCTTTTCATTGGGAGGAGGGGGGCAAATTTTTGTTGGGAGTTTAATGGTGATAACCTGGATCAGATTGACTATGTTTTGATCATTTGATTTATTTGAAGGATGAATTTGGCCAAAGTAAAATTATTGTTGGAATTGCCTCCCACCTCATTGAAGAAAAACCCTCCTGAATTGTTTAATCAATTCTTGGTCTATTATCACATGCACCACTAAAAGAAATAGGGTTGGATCAAGCAAAAACAGGATTCCTAGCTTGACAGGAGGTTCTTTTTACGTAAAAAATGGGATGAAAGATTTTATCAGTATAGTGGTATATCACGATTTTTTATTGTGTGATTCACATTGTGTTACTTACTTACACTTACTTATCCTCTCCGTGCCCCGGAGGACGCACGAGGCCATATTCACATCATGTTATGGAGACTAAAATACTGTATTTAGTATGTAATAATAAATTCCGGAAATAATTAATTTTGTGTTCAAACTTTGGAATTACAATTACTGGAATTATAAAAAATGTTGTAAAACAGTAAAACATTAATTGGCATCCTAGTACATGTATCCATACATGCTTTATTTATAGATGATAAATGTAAAAAAATGAAGTTAAATTTTCACAATATATTTGATAGAAAATTGTAGAAATTCGTATATAATAAAATTGTAATACTAAAAATTGCATGTAATGATATTTTTGGAAAAAATCGTGATATATCGGCCAATAATGATACAAAAATACCCATCCCTACCAAAAGACTTTTTTTTAAAGAGTCGTAAAACATTTTGTCACTGACTGTTTCTTGCAAATTCAAAACCAGTTTTTGATTGAACTTTCCATTTACCATTTTACATAAAATCTGATACTTTTGAGTACAAAATGAATTGGCTATTATATTATGATAGTTTATTACTTTAGAGTACTTGGTTGGGGAGATTGCATTTTTTTTGTTGTCACTTGAAAAAATAAATTTACAAATTGTCTCTGATGTTAGATTAAAATATTTTTTTTTCAGAGGAAGAAAACTGAATTTAAGAAGGTTCTCGACAACCCAACATAGACTTAAAGATGAGGATACCCCGCTGAGTCAACCACTGCCAGATTTTCCTGAACTGAAATATGCCACTGCGTCACCAGAAACATACGACACTCCAGTTACAACCCTTGAGAATGGACTCCGAGTGGCATCACAGAAAGTGTTTGGTCATTTTTGTACATTAGGAGGTATGTCATACATAAAGTCATTGAATAAAGAACTATCAGTTTTCTTTCCATGTACTACATGTACATGTAACAGTATATTTCAAAGGAAGGGGGATTATTTTTGCCAAATTTTTCAAATTTGTTTAAGTACTCTTTTTTTAAATAATTCTGTCAAAAAGAGTATTCCTTTCACATATTTTAAAAATCTTTTGTGATGTTTTTAATGAATCTATACTTTTGCTATGCATCAGAAATTTTACAAATCAGTAAACTAAGCATTATTTAACATGTTAAAGCAAAATCAGTAGAGAAATAGTATTGGCAAAAATGAATTCTCATTAATTCATATTGCATTGTAGCATTTACAGTTTTTAATGATTTTCGTCAACAACAATAAAATGCCTTTCATGTATGACTTCCTATTTTTCAGTTTTGATTGATTCTGGCAGTAGATATGAAGTAGCTTATCCCAGTGGCATTTCACATTTTATAGAAAAATTAGGATTTTGTGTCAGTATATTTTATCCTTATAAACAAATTCTTTTTTAGTATTGGATTTACTTCAGAATGATGTATTTCAATAAGGATATTCTTGTTAATGAATTGATTTAAGTATGTTTTCTTTGGCAGTCAACAACAAAATACAAGAGCAATGATGAGATATTACAAGTTTTAGAAAAATATGGTGGAGTTTGTGATTGTCAGTCATCAAGGTCAGTCAGAAGTTATATTTAGTAACAACAAGTTTATAGATACTGGAGACTACAAATCTAAATAGAATTCAAACTCACAATTAAGTTGTAGTTTTTTACAAGTACACAAGTACTAGAAAGTACCAAATGGATGAAGAAAGTTCAGCTGTTCACAAAAATTTACTTAAGTTATTTACCTCGTACCATGATATACACTGTAAGACTAAAGAGTATCTCAAAAAATGCTGACATCCTAAGCAGACATTTATAATGATCGTAGTTTTCCTGTGGAAAAGTTAGCATGTAATATTTATATTAATGATCATAGTTTTCCTGTTGAAAAAGTGATACTTGTGTGATATTGATTTATATTTTGCTCTGGACACATGAATAATATATTGAATGACTTAATTGTATTTTCCTTATCTTCTATTCAATCATATTGTCATGGTTGACTTCAAGTTTTAAAAAAAAAAAATAGATTGAAATGTATACAACATAAAAACTTTTGAGATTTTTCTCTAAATGTATTGAATAAAAGCTCATTTTATTTACAGAGATGCCCTTATATATGCAATGTCAATTGAAACAGAAGGCTTAGAAAAGGGATTAGATATTTTGTCAGAGGTTGCACTGCGACCTGTCATCACAGAGGAACAGGTTTGTATAATAAAGATTGCCTTTTCTCTAGCAGCTCCTGGCTATTATTATAAATAAAAACTAGTTGACAGACAACAGGAGAAAGTTCTTAATGAATTATATATAATTGTATAAAAATATGAATTTGACAGAATTGTTTCTTTTTTAAACAACTTTCGTAATGCTTTTCATATGCAAATAAGATTTAGTATATGATTTCAAACTATGAACTGATGAAAAAAAAAACCTTTTTTTATCTGTTTGCAGATTGACTACTGTAAAATGGCAGTGGCTTTTGATCTTGAGAATATTGAAAGCAGTCCTCAGCCAGACATATTGATGACAGAATTAATACATGCTGTTAGTACTTTTTGTCTTCTTCCTAATTGCTATTGAATATCTGCCTCTTTTCATTCATATCCCCAATTGCCAATATTACTTGTACAGTGAAAACTGTCTAATCCGACACCTGTGTATTCCGTCACGCTGTGAATTCCGATGTTAAATTTCGTTCTCATTTTACTATTTTCCATGTTTTTTTACACTGTGCAATCTGACACCCTGTCTATTTTGACACAAAATTTGTCTCCCAGTGCATGTCTGATTAGACAGGTTTCACTATACAAATGAATGCCGTAATTATTCAAATTTGTACATATACATTGTAGGGTTTTTTGGAATATTGACCTTACTTGATTGTCACTTCTTTGATAACTTGAAGAAAAAAAAATCAGTGAATACTGATGTTTAAAGACAAAATTGTTCCACATTGCTCCTTATTTAAATACAGTTTAATCAGTAATCATGTTACATTTACTTTATTTTGTGGTTAAAAGTTTTCAGTTTAAAAAATATTATTTTCTACTGACATTAAAATTAACAGTTACAGAGCTTCTTGCTGACATGTATCTTGTATTACAATGTATTTTGCAGGCTGCTTATCGAGACAACACACTGGGTCTTCCAAAAATTTGTCCCAAAGAAAACATTGACAAAATAGACAAAGGGACTCTGTATACATTTATGAACAATTTTCATGACCCCTCAAGAATGGTTCTCTGTGGGGTGGGGGTGGAACATGACAGGTTAGTGGAGTTGGCCAGGGAGCTCTTTGTAAAGAAGACACCTCTTTGGAAAGAGGATCCATCCCTGGTAGATCACAGTAAATCAGTGGATCATTCTATAGCACAGTACACAGGAGGGAAGATGCTGGTAAGAACTCCTCAGAGATAAGAAGTTTTTTGCACACTTTCTTTATGTCACTTTCCAGATTTGTTACATACATGTAGCTGGGCAATGTGAATGTTTCTGATTCTGTACAATTTCTTCACATTCTTCTGCATTAAATTTTTGTCAAATAATTTATCAATGTTGACATTTATTTTCAGTATATACTGTATATTTAAAACGTATCTTATATCTTAGACAAAAATTTATATCTAAAAAAGATAAAATAGCCAAAAAATTTTATCAATAATTTTATTTTTCTCTGTGGTTATATTAATCCTTTGCTGTTTATCTTTTTTTTAAGATTGAAAAAGACCTATCCAGTGTGAGTAAGGGACCCAATCCTTTCCCAGAGCTCGCCCACTTAGTGCTGGGGTTGGAGAGCTGTTCTCACAAGGACGGCGACTTTATAGCATTCTGTGTTCTTAATATGATGCTGGGAGGGGGAAATGCTTTCTCTGCAGGAGGTCCAGGGAAGGGGATGTATACCAGACTTTATACTAATGTATTAAATAGGTAAGTTGGCAAAGAAGTCTACATGTTAAGGAAAGAAATGTGAAATCCTATATTTTTGAAAGGGTTATATATTCTTTGTTTTCAAGGTATTAAAAAAACCAATTACATGTACATTTTATGTCCTTAAATTAATGGTTCAAAATTTTCAAGCTAAAGTATCATCATTCATGTTCCTTCTTCTACCATAAAATCAACTCCCTATGATCCAGTATTATTTTACTCAAACCACAAAAATTTATCCTTTTGAAAATAGTATGGTATGTTTTAATATCAAATGTGTTGATGTATTTGTTTATTGGTTCAAAATACATATATTGGTATTTTGAATATTTAAATAAACTACAATGTTATTTGCAGACACCACTGGATGTTTGGTTGTGTTGCCATGAACCATGTGTATGATGACTCTGGGGTATTCTGTATTATGGCCAGTTCTCATCCTAGCCAGGTAATCATAAAGTTTAGAAGTATACTTACTTTGTACATTTAACATATAGGACACTGTTTTGTATATACAAATTAGTGATGTGCGATTTTATCGGTTTACCGGTATATCGCGATTTTTTATTGCGTGATACATATCGTGATACAGAGACTAAAATATCGGTATTTGGTACATAACTATAAATTCCGGAAATTATTCATTTATTTGTTCAAACTATTGAATGACAATTGCAGGACGTGTAAAAAATGTTGAAAACAGTTAAACAATGGCATCCAAACATGGTTTATATTAAATAAATAAAAATTTAAAAAGTAAAGCTATGTTTTTATAGCATATTTTTAAGAAATATTGTGGAAATTCATTTGAAATTGTAGTAAAAATTGTGTGTAAAAATATCACGATTTATCGTGATATTTTTGGGGGAAAATCTTGATATATCACGATACAAAATTTTTGCCAATACCCATCCCTAATACAAATGTACCTTGTCATTGAGAGTTAAATCTCAGATATCTGTATGTGCAAGTACTGATAAGTATTTTCAAATTGGCACACACAATACAGATGCTGAAACTCTGACAGTCATATTTTATATTTATGTAACAATGCAGTCTTTTGTGTCAGAATAGTCAAATTCATAGCATGTTAGTCATTTTTTAACCCCTTCTTATTTTACCCTTGTCTAACCCAGTAACGTTAATGAAGGTCATGTTTGAAATTTAGAAAGTATGTATATTTCTCTTTCAGTTGGATGACTTAGCAATAGTTGTTTTATCCGAGTTTCTAAGAACTCCAGAAGAAATAAGCAAGGTTTGTTAATTTTAGTTATCAGCATCATTTCAAAGTTTGACTAGTATATACCGTAAAGGTACTAAGCAACACAGGACAATGAAATTTCATATTTTAAAAATGTTTTAATACATTGAAATTTTATAAAGTTTTTGTATGCCTTAACTCTTTCTGTAAGACCTTGCAGTTCAGGAGCATTTTATGAAGCTCCAAGTCCTTTTCTGGTTTTAAGCAATAAGACACATGTATATGTATCTTGAAATAAGGAATTTTTATGTTAATAAAGTTCTAAAACTAATTGGTGTGTAAAAAACTGATTCATCAGGAGGAATTAGATCGTGCCAAGAAGCAGCTCCAGTCCCTACTGATGTATAACCTGGAGTCTCGTCCTATGATGTTTGAAGATGTTGGGAGACAGGTGCTCAGCCGCGGATTCAGAAATCCAGCTCAGTTCTATCTGGAGGAAATTGGTGGGCTATCATAATCATTTTACTGTTAATTTACTTCTGTACTGTAGAATTTATTCTAATGTATAATAATTCTATATAGATTTCTTAACAGGAAGCATGGTGAATTCAGAATCACTGATGTGAAGTTTAAAGTGTTAATTTAACAGAAAATTAACTTCAGAAATCTATACATGATTTGGTTGTTAAGATAACTTTTTCAAATTGATAAGCCAGAGAAAATTTTGAAATTATTTTTAGCTGGCAATTCTGGTTGAGACATTATCAGATAAGTTGTAAATGAAATGACAGGCAAAACAATAATCAGTTCCGTATTTTTACAGAGAAGGTAACAAGGGAAGACCTACAGCGTGTAGCTAAGAGAATGCTTCGTTCTAAACCAGCAGTAGCTGCATATGGGACATTAGATAAATTACCACCATATGAAAGGTTCCAGGAGATTTTGGCAAATGGAGCTGTAGTGAAAAACAAAAGGAGATTTGCATCTTTCTTCAAATAACTTTATAATACAGTGAATTTTTTATGAAAACATATACAGTGCTTATTGCAGGACAAACATCCTCAAACAAGCTTCATGCATTAATTGTTGGAGGAGTTTGGTTTCTACTCCAATATTTTATCTGTGTAATCGTAATTATAAACGAAGTGTTTGTACCTTGACATTGTGGTACATTCTATAATTGATACATAATAATAAGCACAGCTGGTCACACAGTTCAGTTTTTAGCAGATTTTTTGTTCATGTTGCTGAAGTGCCATTGGAAACATTGAAACACCGACTTCAATAAGTTTTTGTACGTGACATTATGAATTCATTATTAATATTGCTATATTGTAGCAGCTCTCTATTACAGATAACAGTGTTTGCTTGGACTAACTAGATCTTGTATGTTTTATGCTTATTTTGTTAAGAAATAAATCAGAGTGAGATTGAGTACTTTAATTAAACATGATAAATTGTTCACAGCTTACATATTTAAAATTGATACAATGTAGGTTTTTCCCTCTGTCTGCCTTGTCTTTAGAAGTCAAAATTTTTCATATGAATCACATTGTAATTAGATAATCAATATAAAAACTCCTTTGAGCTTACTCTCTTTCACAACTAGTATACAAATTCCTTTCTTTCTAACCTTTACGCTGATATTTTTTTACACTATTTTTTTTCATTCACGAAAGGCAGCATTTTCTATACAGTGTCAAGAAATGCAACTTGTATTATTCATATATGAAAATCTCATTAGTACCAACAACTCAAGAAAGAAAAACAAAAATACATCACTGAAACGCATGAGAATAAAATTTTTTCGATAATTGAAAAAATATTTTAAGTTCATTTAGTTTTTAAAGGTTCCATAATGAAGGTTGAGACTAATATATTAGATGAGATTCGCTACTACAGTGAGTACCACGTCTCTCATTTGTTGAAATAAAATTTATCTTGTTTTAAGGGGTTGCAGTGGAACTTGATATGGCCTTGAAACTTTCCAAGAAGACCCCAGCATGAAGTAATTACTGGTATACAGAAATGTAATATGTTCGCCCATGAGTGCTGCCAAACCAGTAAAATATGTTGGTTTTTATCGATTTGATTATTGAAATGGGCAATATGCACATTTAAAGAGGTCTTCCCATGCACTCCCTTCACCGGTATATGGTTACGTCTCTATATGAGCGAAAAATGCTCGAATGGGACGTAAAACATCATACAATCAATCAATCAATCCCGTGCACTTCTTGGTCAAGTATTATTACAGGGTGAATTAAAAAAAAATGACCACCAAACTGAATTTTTTTTGGAAAAATTCAACTACTTATAACATATTTTTCACTTATATCATCATATTGCACATGCATTCTAGTTTAAAGTCCTGAAGTGGCAATAGAATAGACAATTGGATTAAAAAGTTTCAGAATTTTTATTAGTAAAATTTCTTTTGAAAAAAGAAAATATCATTACACCTTAAAAGACTTTCTTAAATACACAATCACAAGAAATTATAGTTTTTTATGCTTCAAAATTGGGAAAGGGGTATAAATGATTAAATATAGACCTTGACTGAGTATCTTCTCTTGTATATGTGACAAAAAATTGGCTTTTTGCTTGTTATTTTACATTAATTTTTCAATTCTGGTCTGAAAAGTTTTAATATGAAAAAAATATGAAACAATAAAATTCCCCAAATTTCACTTTTTTGTCCGTTCAAGTCAATTCTTTAAATCTAAGCCAAAAAAGAATTTTTATATACGAGTTCTCTTACAAAAAATACTAGATTTTGAAGTGACCCTATGTTACATTATTGTGTTGCACTCCTGACATCTGATATGTATTTTATTTAACATTAATTTGTTTTAAAAATTATAACACACAATAATCCATTCTTACTTTGTAAATCAATTTGTCGTTTTGATATTTTTCATCGTTTACGGCAGGAAATTTATTTTTTGAAGATCTTAAAACATGATTATTTGCAAAGTATAAAATATACAAATTGTATTTAAAAATATATGTGAAATGATGAAAACTATTCCCTGAATTGACTGTAAAATTTCTGTAATTTGTTGATAGACATAGTGTTTTTAACATCAAATAGTATCAAACATTTTTTTTCAACTTCTTTTCTAGTAAAGATAGTTAAAAGGCATTGGTAATTATAAAGCAGTTTTGTTGCACTCCTGACTGCAGTAAAATTTAAAATTAAAACCATAGAACACAAAATATAAAGTGTTGGCAACATCAAGTGGTAATGAAATTGTGCAATATTTATACATGTAGTCCAATACTTCATAATTAAAACAGATGAAAGTATTCAAAATTCGCATTTTATCTGGAATTATTCCCTATTTATGCCAAAAAACTAGCTTAAATGTATATTTAGAAGATAAAATATATTTAAATAGCATATTTTCCTTTAGAGGAAAAACACAGTTACCCACCAGAAAAATTCTACTCATAATTTTTTCTTTATTTTTATTCTTATTGAATGATTTATAATTCAAACATATTTGTTGCACTCCTGACCAAAAGCATTGGGGCCTTTAAAGTATAATTGTGAAGTGAAAAGTACATAAGAACTTGTTCTGTTGTTCCAGTGAAGTTGAGGAGGAATTACTTGAATTTTATGACAATTTTTTAGTGTGTTTATTTTTAACATTCATTAAAAAATCACAAAAAAGATAAAAACACATCTGAATTGATAAAATTGAAAAAAAGGAAGGATTTTAATAATAAAACTGTCAATAATTTAGTATTAAATTATACAGAAAGATCATTATTAATTAATGAATACTTCTAAGCATGAATAGAAGTGTTTTCGTCACACAACTTGAATATTTAAAAAAAATGTGTTGCACTCCTGACAATAGAAATATAGATCTGAAGCACAGACAGATCCTGTAATTGATAAATCTATTTGGTAAAAATGCTCTTTGTGTCTTTATTTTCCAAAATAAAAATCAGAAAATCATATAATAATAATAATAGTTTTTTCATGCTTGGGAGCGAAACATCAAATGTTGCACTCCTGACATTATTGGGTATGCACATATACTAGTACTTGACTCTCATTAATGCTGCTTGTGATTTATATAATAACATTTTTAAGTTTTAAAATGTATATCAGTTATTGTTTTACACTTCAAAAATTCTATTTTGTTTTAATTTTCTTTCAGAATTTTACAAATGATGTTTTTTTGGCAACAATACATTTTTTCTGTTGCACTCCTGACATGGTATAGAATTTTTTTAAACATCAGCCATGACCACAACTTCATTAAATAAAAGTTACCACAGTCCACATTTAAAGCTCAATACTTTGAATATTATCAGAAAAGTCTTTATTTTCAACATAAAGCATTAATTATTTATTTCACACATCTCCAAAAAATATTGAAATTTCAAAATGTCACAAATAGGTGTTGCACTCCTGACAATTTTAGCATCATTTTTGGGCATAACTTTTTTGTTAATTGAGATATCAACGAGATATTTGGCAGGTATTGAGACACTATCTAAAGACATATGCTAAGACATAGAAATCTATTTTCATTGCCTGTATTTTTAGTGTGGGTTGATAAATATGCGTTTGGTCAATTTTATTTGAATTCACCCTACAAAAAATATGGCTCAAAGCTAAGAAAATGACTGTACATTTCTGTGAAATATATTTTTAATGTTATATAATACATGTATGTTGAATATTTTATAGCTATGATATTATCGTATGCCATTCACCTGTCGTAACAAGAAATCAAGAGGACTTTCGTCGACTGATATAAAATACAAGTTAAGGCCGGGCTTCCCACCAAGGATATTAATGAGGGCGTTTTGTCTATGTTTAAAATTAATGATCCGGTCAGTGGATCAGGTAGAGATTACACTTCTCATTCATCGTGATGTCATTCAGGGACATATGTTACGGAACATATTGTCGATCTGTAGACACTGTCGTCGGCGACAAGTTATAGTTAGAGTACATTTTATCGAGTGTATCATGGATAATCAAGAGGGCGGTGATGAGTTTGCGAAGCAAACGAGCAGGTTCGTGATACAATGCATGTATGTACCTACCCTCACTGCACATGTTGTCGTCTATCGGTACTTGTCACCGTCTGAAAAGTTACTCATGTACAGTGTACATATTGTTGCCGGCGACATTATGTGCCTACCCTCATTGTACTTATCGTCACCCCACACTTAGAGTTGGTTAAGATTTTTTTTTAACTTTTATGAATGAAATAGGTGTCTAAAACACACAGACATGTCTTGTAGGCTATTTCACGCAGGTACATATTTTCATCCTATACATATAGTCGCCGGCGACATTGTGTACTTCTCCAAACTGCACATACTGTCGCCCTTCGGTATATATTGTCGCAAGCTGCAAAATAACACATGTACATATTGGCGAAGGCAACAAGATTTGCGTACCCATACTACACATATTGTAATAACGATGATTATGATGATGATAATGTTGATGATATGATCATGAGTTTAATCAAGAATTCCCGTATCTTAGTTTATCAAAGTCGCGAACTCCGATCTTGGACTCAATTTTTAGCTCTTCTGAGCCAAAGGCTCAAAGAGCTAATGCTATGGCCATTTGTGCGGTGTGCGTAAGCTTTTTTAGAATATGGGCCACTTCTCAAGAACCACTGGGCAGATTATCACCAAACATACACATAAGGATGAGGATATGTTGTAGATTAAAAGTTGTTCAAGGCATCACCCTGGGGCAAAGGGCGTGGTCTCATGGTCACTTCAAAGTTGACCAAAAATTACATTTTATTAAAATGTTGATATTTTGCTTACTATAGGGACTACATGTAGGATCATCAAATCTTGACAGTGGATGCATCTAAGAACCTCATATCATGTTGACTCAAAAGTAGGTCACGGTGACCTACTTTTTAAATTTTGAAGCCATTCTTTTTCAAAATGATTTAGAGGCATATTTTAAACAATTAAAGGCCTATGATCATCAAACTTTGTCAGTTGATGCATCTTGGGTCCTCGGAGTAAGCTAACTAAAAGTAGGTCACCTTGACCTACTTTTTGAATTTTATAGCTAATCTTTTTCAAAACATTTAAGGTCATTAAGTCGAATATTGAGATGTTTAGAATCATTAAATCTTGTAAGATGATGCATCTTGGGGTCATAAAACACATTTATTAAAAAGTAGGTCACAGTGACCTACTTTTTGAACTTTGCAGGCATTCAATTTCAAAGCGTTTTAGAGGCATATTTTGGACATTTTAAGGCCTATGATCATAAAACTGTAAGTTGATGCATCTTGGGTCCTCGAAAAACGTCAACTGAAAAGTAGGTCACGGTGACCTACTTTTGAAATTTTATGGCTAAAATTAAATATTTTGGATACTATTTGGCTTAGAATCATCAAACTTTGTCAGTTAATGCATCTTGGGTCTACGGAGTAAGTCGACTGAAAAGTAGGAT